TGGGTGGGGGGGATCAGGAAGAATTTCCTCTTTTACAGCACTGTGATGGTTTTAGTTTTCTTGTTTCCTCTACCAGGCCTTTGGGAAGATTACTTCAGTAGTTGACCTTGGATTCAAATGAGGGCTTGGAGGTTGCGGAAGAAAAGCTGCTCTATAATCATCCAGCATACTGTCTGCTGGAAAGAAGTTAACACAAAAGAAAGATTTGTCATGGGGAAACCATGAAAACATACTGTAGGAAGGAACAAAAATAAGGAGAATCAAGAAGAAAACCCATGTACTTTATGAGTAAAGATAAACAATTCTTCTCTAGTGAAGTTTATGCTTAGTTTGCATAGTTTTAGAGTCTATCTTAAGTATTACATTTTCTCAGAACAGTAAATAATAAATGTTTTGTAATCAAATATAGTAATGTCTTACTAAAATCTTTATTTCCTTTAGCCTTTCCTTAAGAGATTACAGAACATTCATAATTGTTAAAGGTATGAAGTAATTTAAAAAGTGAGCTTAACAGCAAAATATTTAAAACACAGGATTTAAAAAGAGTTGATACCAATTCATTTACTATTTTTACGATTATGATTCACTTATTATTTGAGTCTGTTTTCTCATTTTTTAAATTATGAATTCATAGGAATACTCTATAAATTGATATAATTAAATGAATAGTTATTAAAGAAAAATATTACAAAATGTAAAGTACAAAATATTCCTTGATTATTTCCACTATTTACTATAACCAAATAAGTTTCAAAATATTTGCTCAAGATAGGCTGAAGGAAAAAAATTTAAAGAAAATAAATGAAATCATAAGAATAAAAAAAGCTATGTACATTAAGTGTCCATAAGGGAAATAAAGTTGTGGGAGCGAATTCTAAGTTGGAGTTTTGTTTAGTTTTTTTTTCTGAGAATACTAATTTTTATAAGCACAATGAGCACAGTGATAATGACAAAATAATGAGGAACATTGCATGATTTTGCCATTACATATAAGTAGTGACTCAAACTTACTTCCTTTTAGACAGTAACCTTTCCCTGGCACACAGCCACACGAGGAACTTAATAACACATAGGTTTATAAGCTGTCTGTGTCATCAGGTAAGATTCAGTGATCCTGAGCCCCGGAAATGTGTCATATCATTTCTTGCTTGCTGGAAGAAAAATACAAACCCTCACAGTTTATAATATGAGCTGGAACTTTGCCAGGCAGTGACTCTGGTGAATCTGTATCTTTTTCTCAGCATTTAGCGGTAAGACAAGTTCTTTCTTGGGCACTGGTGACAGCATGTATATCACTGGTACTTATTCTGCCAAATGCTGGCACTGAGCAGCACCCTTGGGAGCCCCACATAGCAGTAAATGGAAGCAAGGGAATGCAAGATCAGGGAAAGCTTTTAAAATTGAGTTTTATTCTGCTTAACGTCAAACAGAATGGTGTGACCCTGCTTGTAGACATCTTTCTGTGGCACAGTGCCAAGTAAATAAGTTCTATATCAATCCCTAACATTAGAATGTTTATATAAAACTGACTCTGTCCAACAAGTTTTATAACACATTGAACTTTTAAGGAAATCTATTTTATCAGTATTACTGCTTCACAAGAGCTTATTCACTTTAATATGATTGCCCTGAGACAGGATCCTTTTGGAGGCTTTGTATTCTCCTTGATTATTTTCTTTGTGAGTTATCTAGCGGTTCTCTTAATGATAGGATAAGATGCATTTAGGAGTATTCTGGTTCTTATGCTGGGAACTCTTAGTTACACCATTTGCTGTTCCCATCTACTTTCCCCCCATCTTTGTGATACATTCATCTATTTTAACTCGGGGCTTATTTATTGAGTCAGGCATGAAACTCAGAGAAGTAGTTTTAGCAAAAACACATGTTAATATGTATCTCAGACTTAGTAAATTTGAAAAGTCTTCTGGATGCAGAGGGCAACCAAGCTGAGCTCCAAGGGACCAATAGATGTTGCCCAGGTGAAAATGGAGCAGCAACACTTTGCAGCAGGGGCAAAGATCCTGAGGCAAAAAATACACAGTTGAGGAACTACTGGTAATTTTGTACGGTTTAAAGGTAAAACAAAAAGATGAGGAAGCATCGTGAGTGAGTTGGAGAAAGAAATCATGAAAGGCACTGGGCCTGCATAAAAGGAGTTCTTTTTTGGGAAGGTAGACAGAAACCACTTAAGGATTTTATCAGAAGAGAACATATTGCCTATATACCCTAACAAGTACCTCTGAGAAAAGGTAGAAAATAGTTTGAATGGAGTAATTTCAAAAATAAATAAAGAGCATTAATTTCCATTACATGTGGCTATTATTAAATACATTTTGATGTGATACTGTAATTTTCAAGTCTGAAATCTGAATCACTTAAATACATCACAGTGATAGATATATTAAATCTATGCTAAAAGATAAATCTATTCAATATTTGTAAACCTGAAGTCACAGCAAGCACAAATCTGTGGCAATGTGCAATGCTCCTTGCGTACGATTAGTGCAATCAGGACAACAGGAGGGAGAAACTTGTCTCTACACATGCAGCTGTGGGGTTTTATCATGATGAAAATGGCTGTGGAACAAATCTTTTCTCCTCTCAGTTCTATGCTAATTAAAATATCTAGTTGAAGAAAAGCACATTAATTTTGAAAGCCTTCTTCTGTATCTATAGTTCTGAAGAGAAAGAAGACAATTGAACAACAGTTTCTATTTTAAAAGTAGTTTTTGCTTGAGTTCAGAGACTTTTCCTGAACAAGTTAATTTGAGCAGGAGATTATTTAGCTAATAACAGGTAACTGCTATGAATCTCCTTTGCTACATTATCAAACTTAAAAAGACAAAGAAAAACTAGAAATGCTTTGTTTGAAACAGAAACTATAGCTCATTATCAATGAAAAGATTATAGTTCCTGTCAAAAAATTGCAAGTTACTCAACATGGTCTCTTCAAAAGTACAAATGAGAGCTGGCATTATTTAAACTAATGGAGTCAGAGAATTCACATGAAGTTAGCTTTTAACTATTGCCTTACTACCTTCCATGTAGTATGAAGTAAAAACTTTTTTTCATCTCCTGAAAAAATTCACACCAATCTTCTTACATCCCATAGCAGCATTGATGTGAATTTTTTAAAGCTGATGCTTAATAGTATCTAGCACTTAATTTTCATGTTATTAAATATTCTTATTTTTATGTAATAGTTTTGAAATGTTTTATGTGCCAATAATATCTATTGAGTCATACTTTCATTTATAATTTTAATTGCAGTTTCACATAATATTGTTAAAGCAGCAAATCAACTTTATATATTTTGAAATATGTTGTTAAATTTTGTATTTGAATTGTGGTACATGGTTAGAATCAGTAATTTTTTTGACATCTGATATTTTACTTTGCAAAAATAAAGATTGAAATAAGAGTATCACAGTTTTACTCTGGTACTGCTTCTATCAGCAAAATAGTTAAAAGGCTTCCATATTCATTCATTAGTGATGTTTGAATGTAAACAATATAAATTGGTGGTGATTGGGAAGAGAAAGAAAAAATAGATGAATTGTAAATAAAAGGATAAGACAGAAAGACTTGGCAGTCTGAGGTCTATCGTGTATGTGGAAGAAGGAAAGAAAGCTACTCTGCATTCTTTTTTTGGGGTACTGGGGATCGAACTTGGGACCTTGTGCTTGCAAGGCAGGCGCCAGAACCACTGAGCTAAATCCCCAGCCCAACTCTACATTCTTGTATGAAGCAGTTATGAACAGTGCCATTCACATAGAGAGAGTGCGCAGTGAAACAGGACGGAGGCGGAGAAGGGGGCAGAGAAAGCAGACGAGGGCAAGAAGACAACAAATAGCAACACTTGAGTGCATGCTAAAATGTCCTTGCTTGAATGTTCAGAAATCAGTACCCTCTTGCCCGGCGTGTTTAGCCTGCTTTGGGAAGGCACAACCAATGCACTGCAATGAGTCTGGGAGCTCCTCTGGGGTAGCAGAGAAGACGTGCTCTTTAATGTGTGAGTAGTTAACTTCTGAAAAGTGGACAGTTAGAGACAAACAGCTGGGGGCACATTTCGGGGAGCTCGACAGCTCCTTATACCCTAGTTGTCTTGTGCCAGCGCTAGTACACTTTAAGAGTTTATTGCCAGTAAGTGAAATTGGGAGCAGTTTTGAATCACACAGCTAGTAACAGGTTAAGTGTGTGGAGGGCTGGTGAATACTTGCATCCCCTGGTAAGAATATAAATATATTTCCCCTAGAAGATATGTAATTCTTTGCAGCACATACTCTCTTAGTTCTTAAAAGACACTCTGTGTACATTATAGGTTCAATTATCTGTTAGCATCTGGTCCAAGAACCTAACTGCTTTTGTTTGAAACTTGGAATACATTTTCCCACTTAAAGAAATACAAACTTGTTAGAAAATAATTTAGGAAAAGAACTAGGGGCACTACCAATACTGTAGTAAATGTCAAGTTTGAAAATTTTGTTGAGTAGGGTTAGTTGTAAGAGCACTGAGGTAAATCACTAAGCTACTCTAATGTGTATTAAGGAAATCATACTCAAAATTGCTCTTTATTTTCTAGTTCATTCATTTAGTTTATGTTCTCTTTTGTCTTTATGTCTCATTTGCTGGATATTTAGAAACTTGTGTTATACCTAACATGAATAGAGTATTTTATGCAACTCTTTTTTTCTATTCTGCTTGAAAATTCTAAGAGGAAGTAAGCTTAATGAAAAGTTACATTGTGTGTGGTTTTGTTTTCTGTGATTAGAATTGAGAGAATCATACACACCTATGATGGGCAGTGGTCAAATAGCTGTTTTGATACCCAGGTGGCAGCACTGATTCCTTGGCATTGGCTTACTTTCTACTGTTTTCAAAATGAAAATGAGGCTCAGGAATTCCAGTGTTAAAACTCTTTGAATTTCTACAGTATGGAGACACCTTGAAGTCCTACTGAGAACAAGCAATATAGGCTTTTCTTTCTAATTTTATTCCAGGAGTTTCTACCACAGGTCCTTTTGGCATGGGAAGCACAACCACCAGTACCACCCTCAGGACCACAACGTGGAGCTCTGGAAGGAGCACCACCCCTTCGGTGTCTGGAAGAAGAAACCGGAGTACCAGCATCCCGTCTCCAGCTGTTGAGGTACTGGGTGACATCACCACACACCTCTCATCTGCAGTGTCCCAGATCCCTGCTCTTGAAGAGAGCTGTGAGGCTGTGGAAGCCCGAGAAATCATGTGGTTCAAGACCCGTCAAGGACAAGTTGCAAAACAGCCATGCCCTGCAGGAACTATAGGTAAACCTACACTGAAGACCTAAACTAAAGGTCATCTCTTACTTTTGGCTTAATTTTCTATGTTCTCCCCCCCAATCCTTTCTCTCTCTCTCTCTCCCCCCCCCTCCACCTCTGCATATAAACGTATTAATCACTCAAAGAGTATCTGTCCATATACTGCTAATAGAAGGTTGATTACAGGGCACATTTTAGATCTAAACCATAACCTACACCCTCTACTTATGACATTTGTTGTGAAGGTTAGTAAAACACTTTATTAGGAGACACTGTAGAAATATTATTATCTTGTGACACTTGTGAAAGTGTTTAAAGGAAACTTCTGAAGCCCTCATGGGTCTGAAAGGTTATTCCCCACGCACCTCTTATTTTAATGCTTCTCTGCCCATTCTGTTATACCTTGGTCTACACTCTCACAGTTTCTCATTAGAATTACAGCAATAGCTTTCGATGACATCCACATCAGTCTTTCAAATTCATCCTCCAGTCTCCTGCCAAAGTTATTTTTCTAAAAATCTGAATCTGCTCATTTCTGTCTCCTGCTTAATGGTCTTCATGGATTTTCCAGCACCCACATGTGACAGACAAGGGACTTTGTGATCTGATTTTCCCACTTTTCTATTAAATATAACTCTTTTTCAGTAGCCTCCAGTTAAAAAACTTCAGGTCTAAATGTCTATAATTTCTCATTCTTTATGGCTGAGTAGTACTCCATTTTATTTTTAAAAAAACAACCCACATCTTCTTTATCCAGAAAGATAAAGATGGGCAATTGGGCTGTTTCCAAGTTTTAGCTATTAAAAACTGGGCCACTATAAGCATGGATACACATATATTTCTGTGGTATGATTCTTTTAATTTTTTTGAGAAGATACCCAGCAGGGGAATAGCTAGATCAAATAGGACCTCTAATCCTAGTTCTTTGAGGTATCTCCATATTTTAGTTGCATCAGTTTACAATCCCACCAACAGTGGAGCAGGGTTCCTTTTCACCACAACCCCACCAGCATTTGTTATTGGTTGATTTCTTGATAGCAGCCTTTCTTTCTGGAGTGAGGTAGAATCTCAACGTTGTTTTCGTTTGGATCTCTCGAATGACCAGTGATGTTGAAGATTTTTTATATGTTTATTTGCTGTTTCTACTTCTTTGTCTGAGAAATGTCTGTTCATTTTAGATGCCCATTTTTGGATTGGGTCTTTAAATTTGGGAGGTTTGATTTCTTTAATTTCTTTATATATTCTAGATAGTAGACCTTTGTCTGAGGAGAGCTGATAAAAATTTTTCCCACATTGTAGGTTGTCTCTTTACTCTGTTGGTGGTTTCTCTTGCTGTGCAGAAGCTTTTTTTGTTTTTTTGAATAACAGTATATTTATTTTATAGTTAATCTATTTTTGATTAAAGCTTTTTAGTAAGATGAGATCCCAGTTGTTGATTCTTTGTGCTAGTTCATGCGCAACTGAGGTTTTGCTCATGAAATCTAAATGGATGCACATTGAAGCCATACTCTTAAGTGAAATAAATAGGACACACGTGTAAATACCAAATAGCTTCTGTGGTGTGAGAAACTGAAAGTGTAAATAAGGATAAAAATGTATTATAGATAATGTGAAATAGGAAGAAAAGGTCCAAAGGGGAATGGGAAGTAGAATGGGTAGGGAAAAGGAAAAAGGGGAAAGGAATAAATATAAGAAAAGAAAAAAATGGAAACAAAGACTTTGTAAATAGGAAGGGGTGGAGGGGTCCAAGGGAGGGCAGGGGGAATGGGCAAAAAAAATAAGATATACCATGTAAAGGTGCACATTCCCAATGGTAAATGTCACCCTATTATATGCCTAAAATATACCAATTAACTTAATGAATTAAAAAAAAATTCAGGTCTCCCAAAGGCAATGTTTTTTCCTCCACTTGGAATGTCCTTTCCGTCGTTTCCTGTAAAACCTATGTGCTGATTCGTTAAGACTACTTGCCTCTGCAGACAGACAGTACAACCCATGCAAGAGATGCCACACTAATCTGACTCATAAATTCTTCCCCATACCTGGCAAAGTTATCAGCAAGTGCTTCCAGAATATTGAATGCTTTTGTTTGTTGTTGTACAACGTTTCTCCAATGCCAGTTGCTTGCCAAGCTCCATATCTGGAGTGTAATAGACATATCTCAATTTAATTATCTCGTTAATTTTGCTTATATTTTAAGCATAGCAAAGATATGCAGTTATTCTAAGAAAAGTGGGTTGAGTATTTGCAACAGACTTATTTCTTCCTTTGTTATAGGTGTATCCACTTACCTATGCCTTGCTCCTGATGGAATTTGGGATCCCCAAGGACCAGATCTCAGCAACTGTTCTTCTCCATGGGTCAACCATATCACACAGAAGGTAAATGTCATGATTGATAAGAAAGCTTTGGCTGAGACTACATCCTCTCTTTGATTGTAACTGCTAAGAACAACTGAATCAATTTAAAAAAAATAATGTGGAAAAATTGTCACATTTTAATTTAATTTCACATTTAAAGACAACATTCTATATGCTAATTTTAAAATTTAGCAGTTTTTAAAAATTGCTTATAATAATTTTTTAAATAAAATATCTATGGTATTGTGAACTACAGATACAAAAGTCCAAGAGGCATTATAAATCAAGCAAGTAAAACCTTCTAGCATACTACATATGGATTTTTTTTCCTGTGGCAGTAATAATTATAATAAAGTCTATCTTTGAAATCTTAAGCCACTTGGTAAATATTTTGTAACCTAATCATTTATCAGTGCTAAAAGTATACACGTGTGACAAAATCTTGCAAACTCAAATGTGCAGGGCTTATTTGGTTGCAATATGCTGAACATTTTTATTATTAATGCACTGTGGGGCTTTGAATTGATTTCATTACAAACAGAGGCCAGATGTGCATTTATGCCAAAAGGGCTGTGGGATGAATCCTTATTATAGCAATTTATGTGGATTTATGTACTTCTAAAATGGAGAGTCCTTCTATGGCACATTAGCTGTGCTGAGGAATTTCTGAAAGAGGTTTTTTCATCAGAAATATTACAAATGATGGCCTTACTAAAAGCCAGCCTGTGCCATTTGCTCTTTTCTCTATTTGTTTTTAACCAAGCTTATCCTCAATAATATACTGTATAATAATCCATAAATATCTACCCAGTAGATCATTTAGCAGATGAGCCATAACTATCTATTTACCCTAAATCATAAAAGAATAGTAGCTATATTGACTCTAGTTACCCTCTTACATATGCATCTCCATACTTGTTGCAATTCATAATGATGCTTCTCCAATTTCAGCACTGTTCCTGCCATAGTTTTTATGTCCTTTGATTTTATTACAATGTAGCTCAGACCCCAGGGCAAATAATTCTTGCTGGATGTGATCAGATTAAGAGATCAGTAGCATATCTTTTTACATTAGCAACTTTTGAAAGAAACTCCCTAGGTACTTGGCCCAGGGGTTAATATAAATTCAACAGTAATTCACCTAGAAAGCTGAATGTTTTTATGATAATTTCTGAATATGGTTGGACTTTTTCATTGCAGAAATTACTGGGTGACTTTAACTAATAATGATACTTAATTCCTTTCTTTCCTCTGCAGCCTTGCTAATCTTAGAACAAAAGAGATAATTCCTTTCAGAGACCAGACAGCTATTTCCCATTTGATTTGTAGATGGATGTTTTTGTTTTGTAATAAATAGTTCTGTCCATTCAGAGCATTTCTCTTTCACCCTGATGAGTCTCTAAAGTTATAAGTTATATTACAATTATATTAAAATTAACTCCGGGGAACTGGAATTTATAACAACTTGTAACAATACTGTAAATTTTTTAAATCTTCAAATTGTAACCTTCTCCATCAGCTTTTAACTGGTCAGGGTCAGTAATGGAGCTGTTGTCATAACAGCTTCTATCTTCATCTGGACTTCACTCACCACACCCTGCCTCTGATGTGAACAGATTATGATTGCCTTCATATCCCCAAGCTCACTTATTAGCTCTGGATTCCTGCTCAGACCATTTTACTTTGCCTTTGCTGCCTCCTGTCTCTTGCCTTCTCCTCTGATTTTTTTCTGCCATATTGGAAAATTAAAGCAAAATAGATGTCTGTAATGATTTATTCTCCCCACTCCACTTCTGCCTCATTGGAACAGGTAGTATCTTTCTCTCCAGGGGTTTTGTGGCTGAAGATTCTCTGAAGGGGTTAGACACTTCTGTCTTAACAACAAATTCATTTCCCATGGCTCTGGAGGCAGGGAAGTCCAAGATTAGAGTACCAGCAGATTCACTGTCTGGTAAGGGCTGCTTTCTTGTGCAGAGGTAGTAACTTCTTGCAGTGTCCTCACTTGGTGGAGAGGCCTCCCAGGAGATTGTCTGGGCAGTGCTAAAGGCAAAGGTCCCATTCATTAGGGCTCTGCACCCTGACCTAAGCACCTCTGCAGAGCTTCACTTTTAATGCCTTTTAGGTTTCAACATATGCATTTGGGGGCCACAAATATTCAGACCCTAACAACCTCCTTCTCGGCTTTACAGGGCCTCTGAGGGATTCCCAAGTCTTTAAAGGAAAATGAACTGGCCTGAGGATCTTGATAGTTGAGTTATGATGGATAAGCAAGTCAGCAAGCTCTGCTTCACATTTCCCCATCTATAAAATGGATTAGGTCATTATCAATAATTTCAATATCAACAATATTTTCTTTATATTTGTGAAAATACTTATAGACTGCAAGTATAATATATAAAAATCAGGACTTACTTTAGTTGCAAAAAGCAAATTTTAGATTTACATTTTTTTGAATGAAATTTTTTTTCCCCAACAATCAGTCTAAGAGATAGATATCAAATAGCCTCAGTAGTTTTGGACTCATAAATGAATTTGGGCCACTTATGTACTCATGAAGTTAAAGATTTTTTTTTCCCTGTGATTCTGGAAAGGCTTTGCTCTTGCTAGGGGAGTCCTCTACCATGGAAGTAAGCCCCAGCCCAAAGATTAAATTTTATGTGTGGTTAGAGATGGATTACATTTCACTAGAGAAAATGTAAGTTTTTAAATGTAAGCTTCAGTTCAGGGGGGATTTGTTGCAAAGAACCCATCCAGAATACTTTCATAATGATGAGATTTAATATGAAGCACAATTTTTACAGAAAGGGAACACCATCCCAACAGTGAGGGTGAAGGGGTCTTTGGGTGGGTAGGTGGAAGGCTGGAAAGATACAGGTGGATGAATGGATAGAATTGCAAATAAATAAATATTTCTTCAAATCAGTGTTGCAAAAGCATTCTTCAGTTTTCACTGAAAGGCTGCAAGTTAGCTCAGAGCTCTGCCTCCTGAAGTACATGTGACAAAATGCTCTATTTTCTCACCTGCCTAATGACTGCTATATAAAAATCATAATTCCTAGTTACAACTTGATCTCAGCTTAGACTGTAGTTTTCAGAAAGTGTTTTTATTTTCTGTTTTGCATACCTTTAAAGAATTCATTACAATTTACAATCTCACTAGTCTTTTCCCATTTAAAATTCTGTGATACTAGTTTTGAATAGCTTCCATATTATTTACATGCAAAATGAGGTATGCTTCTTACTCCATGGCCAGGTCCAACTATTATGTGAAAAGAGTTGCCTGTATTATCACAGATCACAGCCCTTTTTCTTTTGTTAGTACAGAAGCTACTGGCAGATTTTGAGATAGTACAAGGCTGTTTCATTTTATGTGGAAGAAAGACCTAGAGATTTATAAGTGATATTGCTATTTTATGATATAAAATAAACCTATTTTCCCTGGAAGATTAGATTGAGTCTGTCTTCTATATCTTAATGTCTTCATTTTAACTTCCTCAGGAGGTCTTCAATGAACTGCAAGTAAATTGTTTCTTAATTTTATCAGAAATTGTAAGACATTATACTTAACTTACTGTCTTAGTTACTTTCTCATTGCTGGGTCAAAATACCCAGCACCTACAACTTAAAGGAAAGGTTTATTTAGCTCACAGTTTGTAGAGGTTTTAGTCCATAGTCATCTTGTTCCACAGTATGGCAGAGGGGCATTGAAAAGGAGAAACAGTCCATGGCATGACAGACAGGAAGCAGAGAGGGATCAAGGGAAGAGGAGGCATATATACTTCAAACCGCGTCCCCAGTGACCCACCTTTTCCCACCAGGCTTCATCTCCCAATGTCACACTTAGCTATGAACTCATCAGTGAGCTAAGCTAGTGATGAGTATCATGTACCCATGATCCAGTCACCTCCCAAAAGCCTCACTTATAAGCATATAAGACTTTGGGGGGACATCTACATATAAGCCATAACACCTTCAGTAGAAAGAAGTACTATTTTCTATACTCACCTAACTCAGAATTACAGCAATTATTTCTGTCTTAATCATCATCCTTCACTAAAGCCACAGGCTTTCCTATCCCTTATTCAAATCCTGGATATAATCCTGCTGTATAAGTACAGGCATTCATTTACTAATCCTCATAAAACTCATAGTTTTCTCAGTATGTATGTGCTTATTTGTAAGAAATTTTAGTAAACTTCAGTAAAAGAAAGGTTAAAGATGGACATTTTAATGAGATCTGTAAGCAAAGAATGACTTTAACGCTGTATTCATGGTAGAAGCTTGAGGCAGATTCAGGATAGATGTGTATTTTTGATGGAAATAAAATAATTCTAGTCTATGAAAGTTAGACTGAGAGAAAGCCATTGTTATTCTGGATTTAACTTTCTATAGTCTTCTCCTTGATTTAGGTGCTCTTCTTTTCCAAGAGCCTCTACCAGCACTCCATCTTACCTGGTCACCCTCAGTTTACCTTTTAAGGTTTTACTTAGTTCTTACATTCTCCTTGCCATCCCTTGCTTTTTCAAGTGTTTGATTCCCCTGAATTATATTCCCATAATATCTCATGCACATTTCTGTTATTACAACTGCATTCTTAAAGTAATATTATCTGCCTTTATGCACCAGCACCCTTGTTCTCAACTGGTAGAATATAAGTTCCCTGAGGGAAAATTGGTACAAAGTTCATCATTACATCCACTGGAAAAAACAAGTGTTCAAATAATTATTAAAAGAAAGAAAAACTTTTGATATGATTTATCCCATTTTAACATGAGGAGAGAGATAGTTACAGGAAATTTTACCTTAAAAACTTCTCACTTTTTTGTTGTAAGCATTTTTATAAAGTGTAATTTATTTGTACATCAGTTTTTCTCTCACAACTTTCTTAGTGGTGAACATTGAATTTCAGAATTCTTTTGGATGGTTTTAATTAATTTTCTTCTTATAAGTAAACACATTTTAAATGACAAAATATAATTATTTTTAAGATAATTTACTACTGTCAAATTTCTATTTGACTATTTACAGAAGTGCCTGGTTCTTGATGTATATATAGGTAGCTGGACTTCTCATCAATATCTTTTTTTTGGTACCAGGGATCGAACTTGGGACCTTGCACTTGAGAGGCAGGTGATGGAACCACTGAGCTAAATCCCCAGCCCCTCATCAATATCTTTTATGTTGGGAACAATTATATCTTGATTTAATGGTCATTTTCAACTTTCTATTACTATACATAAGAAAAAGTTTAAATTTTTACATAAGGAAATTACATAGGCATGCTTTCCACCGTATCATTATAATGATATCCACTCTAATATTGAAATAATATTGACCATTCTTTTAAAATTCTAAAAAATTGAATTATAATATGAAGATACTAGTGCTCATATTTTCTGTTTGTTTAATAAGTAATTTTGCTTTTCATCATGATCACTAATAGAGATGACAGTCATTACTTACATATTAAGTTTTGAAAAACTTAATAATGAACAAATATTTTGCCTAGCTTAGAAGATTTCAAAATTTTTTTTTACCGTTGTAAATCAAAAACCCCAGAGACCTTCTGCCCTGACTTCTGATAGAAAAAAAATCTCATGTGGTAACAAATAAATAGAAGGAAGCAATAAAATAACAATGACCCAAGAAAGAATACAGGGATTAACAAGGTAATACAGTAGCAATTTTAAAAATATATTCCTCATTATAAGAATGTAATATGTAGAAAATAACAAATGGAAGACACTATAAATGATGCATTGATCAAAAGAATGTCTCTTTGGAAAGTACAAGAATTCTAGCTAAGTATTCAGGTATACTGTAGGATTTTTGTAAAGCTACTTACCAGTTGCACCAGTACTGGTACCTGTTGGTGAGATACTGAATTTGAATACTTATATGTGTATATATTTGCTGCTGGGTATTAAACTAGGGCCTTGCAGATGCCAAGCAAGAGCTTTACTGTTGATCCACATCCCCAGCTCTCTGAATTTTAGACTTTGTTAAATGATTCACTAGATCATCAGTAAGTAGGACTAAAATATATGTAAAAATTAAAATGTGGCTTACAATCATGCTTGTGTCACTTTGTGACAATGTAGAAATACTTTCAGGACCAACCAGTGGGCTACGAGCAATCCCTTGATCCCCAAGAATTTGTTGCATACTTATCCATGAACTCTGTAAGGTCATCCATTTGGTCTGATAGATTTAAAGACTAAAGAATTTTCCAAATTCCTTTAATTCAGTGTAGCTTTTTTTTAATTTCAAGGATTTCTACAAAGTACTTCCTAACTATATAATAATACTTTAACATAGCCTCCTTACATTTATATATTCTTATAAAATTTCATCAGTACAGAGAAGGATTTCTCTTTTGTTTCTTCTCAGGCTTAGAGAGAGAGAGGAGAGAGAAGAGGGTGAGAGTGAGCGCAAGAGGGAGAGGGAGAGAGAGAAAGAGGCAAGGACGGAGGAGAGAGAGAGTATATACAGAATACATAAAAAGTATACATAAGCTGGAGACTATCCTGTATATATAGAGAACACTACATGTATTATTCTTTATATAAAGAGAAAATGTATATGTAATTTTTATAAATAGCATGTTTTTATCTTGAATACTGAAGTTAATAATATTGGTTTCCTTCATATATTAAACTATTGTATGGTACATATACAGTGGACTCTAAAGTTATGACTGGCCTGACATAGGAACAACTTGGGTTAAGATTCATCTGCCTCTTGTTATCCATTGTGTATACCTGGGTAAACATCCAGATCACAGCAGTATTGACTTACAACCAACTTGAGTTAGAACCAGCCCTCTGGAACCAAATGAGTTAGTAAGCCAAGGGTCTACTGTTTACTGAGCGGTGTTAAATAATCATATCCCATTTTTCTATCATAAACAAGCTAAAATGGTCGTCTTTGAACATTTTCTATTACTATATACATGTATGGAATTATTTTTTATGTGTAATAATAGTAAGAAATTGTTGATTATACAGTGTTTATATGTCAGAACTTAACAGACACTGGTAATGTTTTCTGTATAGGAGCTATATGCATTCTATATAGTGATAGTCTCTCTCATGACTAAGAGTTGAAGTTGTGCTAATATCTTTCTACTTATGTTGAAACTCATTAGACAGAGAGTATGCAAAGAAAAGATCTTTTTTGGTTGTAGCCATGTGCTTTATATTGAATTATCTCACAAAAAGAAAAGAAGCAAAGAAAACCAGTTCTTAAATACTGACATTATTATGCATTTAAATAGTAATGGGGTGAGCTAAAATTTAAAAAGATACACTTAAAACCATTAACAGGCCCTTAAAAGACCGTTCTGTTAACACTGCACACTTGTCTCTATGTTTTATATGTGTTCCATTCCTGTTTTATTAAAAGAATATTCATAACTAAAAAAAGATATAACTCAAGAAATTATACTTATTTCCCTTTTTAAAGTACTTTCTATATCTTTCTTATAGTTTAGTATATATTCCTATCTTATTATTACCCAGGGCTATTAAATTTGTTCAGCTGATCATGGGGTATTAGCCTTCATTTCGTATAATATCTTTGAACTGTTGACAACTTGATATATTGCCATAGAACGTATTTGAAAAATCAGCATGTAGTTCCGAAAAGAAAAACGCTGGAAACTAAACAGTAATTTGCTACCCAGTATATGGAAAACAAAATTTCTTATGAGACATTTAGTAAGAAGAGGAAAATCACTTTGAAAGTAGGGATTTTATTTGGGGTAAGTTCTTCACAGAGTTCAGCCGCTGATGAATATTCATTTAGTTCAGTTAATATTCATTTAGTATTCACTAATGCTTAGTATTCATTTAGTATTTGCTTAGCTCACTAAGTGCTAAATTTGCAAAAATGAAAGTTTGCACTGTATTTGCATCTAAGAATGTAGAATATGACTAAGAATTCATAGTACACATTTATCAAAGTCCAATTTTAAAAGCTCACACAGAAAAAATAGGGCAAACCTTAGACCTTCTCCAACCAAATGGATAATTAAAATGAGAATAAGTTTTAGAAGTAAGGTTCCTCAGCTGGGCATAGTAGAGCAATTCTGTAATAGCACTCCGGGAGGCTGAGACAGGACACTTACAAACTGGAAAAGGGCAGGAATGTTGTTCGCTGCTGTAGCCCTGGGGCGGGGGTGGGGGTGGGGTGGAATTCCTCAGGGGAAACTTCCTGAAGTCAGGAATTTAAAGTTAGGTTTTGAACAAAAGGATGAATTAGCAGAAAAAATTGGAGCTCTCAACCGGGTATAGATGGACTTTAATAACTATTTGTTGCCTGAATGACTCAAATTTATATGCAAAAGCAATTGGCAAGAGACCAATAAAAGTATTTGTGTAAGATCTTTTTCTGTTTTGTTTCAAAATTGCAGTTAAAATCTGGAGAGACAGCTGCCAACATTGCTAGAGAGCTGGCCGAACAGACCCGCAGTCACCTGAATGCTGGGGACATCACCTACTCTGTCAGAGCCATGGATCAGCTCGTGGGGCTCCTGGACGTGCAGCTCAGGAACCTGACCCCAGGGGGCAAAGACAGTGCAGCACGGAGTCTGAACAAGGTAAGGAGCCCGGCTGTGTCAATCCGGGAAGTTACAGTAAAGTTAGTGCAACTTTACTGCTTTTCTTCATTTTATAGAAGCAGATCATTCAGAAAGGAATTGATAATTCTGTTTGCAGTTTAAGTATTATAATGGCAGCATTTGACTTTTACTTCAAATAAATAATGAATGATAATCTGCCCATTTATCTTTTGAATTTACAATTCTGTTTTTCATTGTATAACTACTGTTTTTTATGCTAAATTGTGAAAAGATTAATGTGGACTATTGCAGTTTATTTTGTTTCAGTTTTTTCTTTAAACTTTTAGTAAAACGATTGACAGTAAAACAAGTGTGTAGTCAATAAGTAGGAATTTAGAGAATAGAGTATTAATACTCCATTTTAGATGTTTTTAAACTGAAATATTTAAACCTAATTAATATTACTTTAAAAATTCATGGAGCAAGTGATTTTTAATTTTTACTTCATTTTGGTTTTTAAATTATGCAGATTTTGCATCAGTAACATTAAAATTTTTGAAGTTTAAAGGGCTGGGAACTTAGCTCAGGGGCACTGTGCCTACCTGTCAAGCACAAGGTCCTAAAGTTCCATCCCTGGTACCAAAAAAAAAATTTTTTTTTAAGTTTAAGTATATTTCAGCAAATCCGAATTGTAAATAATGAAAACCATATTTTAAATTTCAGGAAAAATAATACTTTCAGAAAAAATTCACTATCCTGAAAGTTAATATCTATATAGTTTATTAATATAAAATATATGAATTAAAAAGATACATATGTTTTACAATTTATATAGAATATCACTTTACATAGAGTATCATTTTCTGTGTTACAAATTATGACATTTTAAATTAACCTCATGGTAAAAAGTATATGAGGATTGACACCATTGAATGTGAACAGTCTCTGACTGGGATTTGTGTAGTAGTAATTCTCAGTGATTGAAACTGAATTTTAGATCCTTTAATATTTTGATAATCTTCCCACTTAGAAAATTGAGAATTTGACAAAGACTTACGTTCCTCTGCCGAATTCAGTAAAAGGCCATTCCCCTTTAGATTGAAAGACTTTGCAGACTTGTCATTTAATGCAGTTAGTTCTTCTGTGTCTTACTGGGTAAGACTCATTCATCAAGATAGAAGACATTTTTTAAAACTAATGATTGTTCAATACAGAAAAGCCAGGCAAATAATTTTTCCTGCAATGTCTTCTCTGGAAAACAGGTACAATTTTATCTATTAGATATAAATTATTAAGGTTTTTTTTCATGCTGAGCATATAAAACTTTAAAAAAATTTTTCACTTGTAGCCTGACAGAGTCGCAATTAAGCCTGATCATATAATCTACAGCTGCCTGTATAATCTGGGCGTGCTGTGATTTTAATGTTATTATCCAGGCTAACTGGGCACGATTAGTGAATAATGCTGCCAGCTATTGTTTTCATAATACACTGGTGGCAGTAATTTCTATTAGTGTTACATATCCATAACATGACTTGTTACAGCAGTACTTTGTATCTTTATTTAAAAATGTTGATGTCTGAGGAGATCAGGTAAAGCTGGCAATTAATGTCACATTCTAACTGGCTATAGCTAATCAGCTTGCCTACTCCGAATATCAAATAACTTACATAATGGCCGAATTTCCATTTACGAGGCCTTTTACTGCTCTCTTTTGTTTCCCATTTGGCTTTTTTCAGTTGTTTGTGTAATATGATTTGTCATATGTTAATTTGCATGATGTGGTAAGGACAAGGGAAGGTAAAGGTTGTTCACGTGCTTGCTGGCTCCTTCTAATTTCTTGTGGTTCCCGTTTTCCCCGAAGCAGTTACAACGCATCAGATTTGCAAAGTCAACTTGGTACGAATCAGTTGAGCTCCACACTGAAATTGTGGAGGGTTTAGAGTCCTGCGAAATGAGTAGGAAAGTCAGTGATCCAAAGACAGCCCCAGCAATTTATTTGGACTCATTCCTCTCTTAATTGTTCAGAGGAGAAACTCTTCCAAGCTCTTGGAAAAATGCATCAATTAGAGTACAGAGAGTAGTAGCTACACGAAAGCATCAGAGTAACTGCTTCTTAAAACTGGATAATTTTCTTTTTTCAAATAAAGGCTACTGAAGTGAGAAAAAAACAGTAGGGATGAGGAAAATTTACAATCTAATATATAAAAATTGGGGGTACTTCTTTAAACAATGAATAAACTGTTACTGCTTATTCCCTTAAGCACCAGGAAAAGATACTTGGGGGTGAATAGGATGCTGCCAACCTTTTGTCTAGAAAATCATTATTCTTTGTGTAAGCAAAAGACAGGCTTCTTATCCCACCAAAGTTTCTAAAATGTGTCTTTTTCGTTAAATTCCTCAAAACAATTTCTTCAAGAAATATAAAATTCAACAAATCAAATATTAATCACCTTTTTATCAGAAGTTATTTATGTCTTGATATCTGTTCCTTAAAATCAGATAGTCATAAGTGGATTTTTCTGTTTTTCCAATAAATAGATTTTTTTGTACGTATAAACAAACACATAATATGTGTGCACATTAACCATCTATATTGTCTGCAAATCACAATCTACTATCTTTAAAATAGGTTCCAAACCTTTTACATAATTTACTTAACTTTTTAGCTTTTCATTTTTTACCCATAAGTTAATAACTAACCTGATGTGAAATGGATCGTTTCAAATGAGTGAAGCATACTGATTGCTACTGATTTCTACTAAATGTATTCAAACATTTCTTCTTCTCATTAACAGCTTTATACCATCCAATTTTCAAGGGGTTGTTCTGAAAGGGTATTAGCTACTATATTTCAAGCCATTGACTACATTTTGCTGCTGCTTTGCTTTCATTTTCTCCTAGAGAGTAGTGAACCAAAAAGTAAGGTGTTTTGTGTAGATGTGTTCTTTTATTTTTCGTGTTTTCTTCTGTCATTAACTTGTTTTTTCTATTCTGTGTTTAATCTGCTGTCTTAATGGATTCAGCTTCAGAAAAGAGAGCGCTCTTGCAGAGCCTATGTCCAGGTACTTTCTGCGTTTTTATACCTGTAATAAGTTGTTGAATTGTCTCTGCTGGTGGTAACGCGTGTGGACATCTGATAGAAAAATGATAATATACCGTGTTGACCTAAAGAAGTTTCAGGGAGGGAATGGAATGGAAGGATGGGAATGGAAGGACATAAGCAAGAGTAAGTGCTAAGAAACAAAATGAAACTTGTCAGTGACAGTTCTCTGTCAAACAAGAGGAACACAGACTAAGAAGGAGGTGCAACCTGAGGGGTGGACATTGATCATCACTAAGAGGTGAGTTAAGTCTGGCAAAATAGATGTATCTCAAATTTTTCAGCAAGGTAGGTATATAAACCTTTCATCTATACATTGAGTACCAACATTCAGAAATGGCACTCAGTCGGTGTCATAAGTGTCAGACTGTCACCTGACTAGGACTGAGGAAGTTCCCAGATCAGGACTGAGCAACTTAACCGTTCGTACACACAGAATGTTTGGAGGTTTACTGACTCTTCTAGCAGAAAAGGACTTTGTTATAACCCATCAGGAAGAGGCAAGGGAAGGGTCCTTTAGGCAGGAATTTTAGTACACATTCAAGAGAGTGTGGGCCCTCAAAAGAGAGAACAGCACACTCTAGTTTGGAAATAGGAATACTTATGTTTTTCATTGCTTCTCGGCCTTTTGGCTAAGATCAAGTGTAGGAATACTTATGTTTTTGGATATCTGTGGAATTTGACAATTTATATTCATGGTCTTGGTTTAGTGAGTAGAGGAAGGTGGTACACCCAAAGAAAAAGAATAGTCTATTTGTAGGGGAAAACCTATAGGTGAATGTGGTCTATTCACAGGTGAAGGAAGACCATTTGCAAGCAAAAAGGGGACTGCCAAATCCATATAGATGAAAGGGAATTGCCAAGGTTTAGAGGAGAGAGGGGAAGAAAAGTTCAAACTGGGTTTGAGTCCTGAAACTATAATGTTAAGTTTTAAAATTATAATTTTTGTCTCCTTTTTGTCTATTTTTTTTAATCCTACCTCAATATAAGACAAATAGTCTAGGATACTTGGAATGGCATGTTTCCGTTCCAAAATGGAACTCTTCATTGGCTCAAGTTTCGTTGTGGCTATCTTACTTTCTCATTGCAAAATTATTAATCCCAAGGCAAATGTAATATTTATCCAGCTAATGTGTTTTGTTTCTAAGAAATAAACCCTATGGTTTATGGGTTTTGCGTGAAATAGAGCAAACTCAGGAGCAAACACTCCAACTATCTTTATAGAAAAGAAGAAAGGAAGGAAGGGAGAGAGGAAGGGAAGGACAGAGGGACAGAGGGATAGAGGAACAGAATATGACAGTGTGGCTATAAAATTTATTTTCTATGTATGCATAGCACAGTATTTTTAAAGAGGAAGCCCATCTGATGTCTAAAGATATTCCCTCAAGAATCAACTTAATGCTTATAAGATTGTAAAATTAAACTTTATCAATTTATTTGCATTTGAAAATAATATAGAAGCATTGACTTTTTAACAAAAATATTTAAGAGGTTAGGTTGATGTAAATACTAAATATTAACTCATTCCTTTGTATATTTTCAATGATCTGAATATTCCCTTTCACTATCTTCCTAGCTAATATAAAACTGGGAATTGAATGTATAATAAGGAAGTGTCTTAGCACAGAATCATAGAAAAAGTACTAGATGGCTGTAGGGAAAAGTTAGAGGTTGGGAAAAGCACAGTACAGTAAACATTTTAATGAATGTCTGAATGTATCTCTGTATGTTACAATAGAATCATTTGCTTAATTCTGGCTGGCAAAGTTTATTTTTCCAGGTGCCACATTTTAAAATTCCAAACACAAACTCCTTCCCTTTCCTCAAAAACATTAGGGAATAGGGCCTGGGATTTAGCTCAGTGGTTCCGCCACCTGCCTCGAAAGCACAAGGACCTGAGTTCGATCCCCGGTACCCCCCCCCAAAAAAATTAGGGAATAAAACAAATAATGTCTCTGCCCTACCATTCTACCATCTAGTAGACAATGTTGATTAATAAGTTTTAGACACACTTATTAATTATTAAGCACTATTCACTTTTCAGAAATTTATGTTACTTCAAAAACTGTTCCAACCACCTTTTAGTTATTCATCTATATATCAGTTAACATAGGGGATAGCTGACAGCTCACATCTGCCCTTCTGTTTGTATGTGAAATATGCAAAAGATAGCATGAGGACTAGGGTTCTAAGCCTTGTGTTTGTTAGTACCAAAAGTATGTATAGTATGCATAGCTAAACAGTCTTGGTCAGACTATGGTCTCCTTGGTCATTATCTCAGGCCTGGTCTGCTAGATCCTGGTAGCACAAGGGAAGTCCTCATTCCTTTGGGTGATTGCGCTATTCCTTACATCAGATCAAAGCTCCTATTTAGTGGGTAGCCGCACTTCCCATCATGGAGTGATCTGCCTTCAGAAGATGCTTTTCCTGGAATCTTGAACATATCATTGTTCCTCTCTTATGATGTCTTCAGTATTGAAAGAGGATGAGAGACGTTAAGTAAATTTAGGACTAATCAACCTTCTATTAGCAGTATACATACAGATACTCTTTAAGTGATTATGTTTATGTGCAGAATTGAACGGGAATCTGACTCAAAATTTAAGGTAGGAAAGGAGACAGATGCAATGTGAAGCTAGAGATGCCAAGTTTTTATCCTGTTGTTCATGACCCATCAAATGTTTGCAATATCAGTTTTTAGCTAGTTATGTCAAATTCAGTGTTTGAAGCCTTCCAGTGTATATAGTACTTATATCACAGGTAGCTCTGAATTTACTCTGAATGTAGAAACAATAGGAATCATAAAACCAGATTCAAACAGACTGAAGTATTTTTCATTGTGAAATTTCATAGAATAAAAATCTACGAGTAAATGATCATAAGTGGTGTCATGTATTATTGAGCAGAGCATTTCTGCTTCACCAATACTGTTTGCATTTGGTTTTATCAGCTATTTAATCAATAGCTGAAACGTTTATTCACAGCTAGTCAATTATAACACCAGGAAATCAGCCATTGAATAAACTGTGCTATTAATTTTTCATCAGAGATTCATGTTTGAATGACCATGCATTTCATAGATTTAAATACCGAAAGGCTAATTATCCCAATGGCCCCATGAAAAGGAGCATAGATTGCAATAAAAAACAATCCTAATATTGCTCAAAAATGATCTTCAGCTTTTAGTGGTGAAGAATTATTATTGTACCTATTGCTCACACTGAGTACAGCTCATCCAGTAGAGATGTATATTATATATATATATCTATGCCTCCCAAAACAATGTCTTTTCCAAAACTTTGACAATTTCATATACTTTGAAATTCATTATTTTATAAATCAAGATGTAAATTAAAAGCTTATTTTCCTAATCTCTGTATAAAGCCGTTTTTTTCCTTTTAAAGGTCTTTCTCAAAAAGTATCCTTATTATCCTCATCCTAATTGCTTTAAATTTGGAATGAAAATCAAGAAAAAAATACTACACTAGATTAATTCATCAAGGGAATGACTGTAGGGAGAGAAAAGAATCTAGACATCTGTGACAAGTTGGCTGGTCAAGTTGATTGCCTTAAGAGTACACCTAGAAGATTAATAAAGCACACTCTGGATGTGTTTGGAGGCATGACCTTAGGGCCTATGCCTGGTTTCTGGCCCCTTTTCTCTCTGGTGCTGTCCTCCTCTTCTGCTTCTCAGTCACCATGAAGCTTTGTTCCACCAAGCCCTTCTACTGTGAAGCTTTTGCCTTGGAGCCACCTGATTATGGAGTGAATTCCTGAAACCATGAGCCAAATTAAAGCTCTTCTCATTTAAGTTGCAGATGCTGGATATTTTCTCCCAGCAATTGGAAAGCATATCAATGCAGAAAATTAATGATACCAAAAGTGAGGTCATTGCTATGCCTATATCTGACAATAATTTGAGAAGCCTTTGGAACTGGTTTAAGGGAGGATTTTGCAAAGGTTTGGAGTTGTGACTGGAGAAGCCCTAGAATTTTGTAAGTAGACTGTGATGGGCATATTTGGTTGAAAATCAGAATGCTGGTAGGAGTGGGGACAGCATAGGCCAGGATCATGAGGTGTTGGACAGGAATGAGGACTCAATTGGGAAATGGACTAGAGGGCATGATTATTATACCTTGGCAGAAAGTTTGTCCACATTTTTTGATGTCCATAGACCCTGGATAAGCCTGAATTTTTAAGGTGGTGACTAATTGATCTTGTGAAGAAAATTTCAAGGCCACTCAATGGTGTGGGTAAGGCATGGGTACTAATGGCTGCTTTTAGGTACATTTATCACAAGAATTGAGAGCAGAAAGCTAAACCAAAAATAATTGAGAAATTTAAATTTAGGCCCCAAAAGGGCTATATATAAGTTGGGGCCAAATGAGGTATGGTTGTTGAAGAGAAAAAGAAACCAAATACTTTGAACCTAGAGCAGAAGAAAGATGCCTTGAAGGTATTTCAGGAATCAGCAAGACCCCACTCATGGCAGGCTCAAAATTGCAAAAGTGTAATCCTTTTCATTTGAAAAGAAACTCCTTGGGATTCCTGCTCAAAAAAGGTCTGGGGAATTGGTTTCCCGGTATTTATTTAGCATACTCATCCATCCAGACAATCAGAGGCTCCTGCAACCATGATCCAAGGGAGCCTGGCTACCATTTGGGCTGGCACCAGACCTTGACTTCATCCATGTGATGCTGGGTCTTTAGGCATGCAGAAAGCAAGAGCTTTCAGAGCATAGAATCTTATATCCAGATTTAAAAGAATAGCCTGGAAGCCAAACAGTGTGCCCTGTGAGGTGTGTATGTGAAGCTGTGGAAACAAAAACAAAGGTGCAGTGGGTAACACAGGAAGTTGGATAAGCCTGCAACAAGAAACATCTATTGAGGAAAGCTGCGGACTGTTAGAAGAGAGACCATGTGTGCTGCAAACAGCAAGGCCACAAGAGTAGGGCTACCCAAG